AATTGTTCTTGATGTTGTTAGTTTAGTTTATACAAATTTATTTTAGTTCAATTGTGTTGGAAGTTATAAGCTTTTTTAAACACCCGGAACCAACCAGTACTAAGCAATGAATGTGAAGTTTCTTGCTCAAGGAAACAACGTCTTGCCCCTAACAGGGTTTGAACCCATGCGGTCATGATGTTTTTGTTAGTGTTGTTGTAAATTGTTGATGTTGTAATATTATTGTAATAGTACCAATAAAACACTATACTGTCACAAAACGACATAAAATCAACTTTTTTAAAAACTTTATTCTTTTATAGGAACATTTCTTATCAGATTAATGATGTTAAATGTTAAGCGCAATATGTCATATTTATGTTGTAAGTCGTTAAAGCTAATAATAATGTGTAAGGTATTTATTTTTAGTTTTGAAAATATACTCATCTTGAAAAAATACAAAAAAAGCATAACCATTAACTCAAAGTAACAAGCTTCTCCTGATAGTGACCTGTAGTTTTTTTCTATCAGAAATAATGTGTTGGCACTAATGACATTATGTTGTAAAACTTGTATCACTTTCGCATTAAATAATGATTTTATTGTAGTCTTTCCTCTAATACAGCATGAGTCATCTTATGTTTAACCGTACTAAATATCTTAAATGGAACAGTCCATCTCTCAATCTGGACGAGACCATTGATCATTTTAGGGGGGAAATTAAAAATAAGTACTGATTAAATGATGAACGGTTAAGACCACGATCAGACGACACGGATGTGCCAGTTGATCTAAGTCTGCAATATTCTGTAGTCGCCAGGAGTAGCTTTATTTACACCTGGATATGGCTTTATGAATACCCCTATCTGCCCATTATTTTAATTTTTTATAATTTATCGAATGTTACATAAGGTCATTTAATAAAGGATATTTCTGTAATCTAAAGCGTACAAATCAGTGCCATCAAATTGTGAACCATGGTTTGCTGCATGTTTTAGTAAAATCCATTGATGAACTAAAGGGTGAAATATGTACAGAATTTTGAATATTAATTTATCTCGTTGTATCAGTTGAAGCTACTGATCAGAAATGCTGTGCAATATGAAACTCCCCTTTAAAGCTTCATACCACACTGAAGAAAAAACACACATTTAGTTTAGCGACCCCGGTGACCATAACTTCTTTATTTATCAATTTTCTTTTACGATGTCCCGGGATAATGAAATATAAATACCAATTTACATAGTAGATAAGAACGTTTTATTATTACTGTGGGCGAAAAATCGCAACAATAACAGATTGTATCTAAATAATATTCTAAAATAGGGATTGGAAGATACAATAAACGATTAGACCAAAAACCCAGTGACATATGATAATCAAACGGCGTTTTAAAGTAAGACATTGTATCGGGTTTTGAAATCTTAAACAAGTATGTCCTAGGACGGGTCGATTGCTCGAGTAGTTTGTTGCGCTATATTTCTTTTATAAAGTGTTCTTTTCTCTCATGAAGTGATAAAAAGAGAGTAAAAAACAGTCTGTTGATGACAGAAAATCATTAAAAGTGTTCATGTAACTTCCGAGTTTGGTATTCAAGTGCCATGAACTTTTTTATGCCAAAGCTCGTATTCGCATTATTAGTCGCCACTCATAGTTGATTGATATGTTAATAAATTTGTCCGTCTGTCTGATAAATATTCGGCAATTTCTCACGTTCTATGTCAGGAGCATAAATTATACAATGAAAAGGAGATATGTCATGTTTGGTCAAAGGACGTGAATTAAACATTGACATTGGGCTTCTATTATCACTTTAATCATAATTATATTTATATAATATATTATATATAATAAAATGATATAAATCATTATAATAATAGCTTCAATATTTTCAAGAAATCATTTTTGTCTTCTTTAAACAAAATGCAAATAAAGTGGTATTTTGACTTCCATACAAAATACTGAATATCTTTAGCTATACTAATTACTAAAAATGATAAGGCTGGTTCAGATTTATTGCCAATGAGTATTTTCCGGGATATGTAACAGACCACCGAATGTAGAGAAAAAGAAACTATTTAAGAAATGAAAAGAATCGCTTTTTTGGGCTGAATGTGCTTTTATCTTTATTTTTGGATAAAATATTTATTCTAGTAATGATTCAAGTTAAGATTTCTATATAGAAATACAACATGACGATGATGTTACTGTATAAATGCCTTCATGCTCCTTTTCAGGCTATAAACATACAGTTAACACGGACCAGTCATCGCGTATATCATTAATTGAAACACATACAAAAGTTATTGAAACAAATCACTTTACAGGTGTACGTAATTAATATAAATACATTACAAATGAAGGTTTGTTTTGGACAAAGTTCATTTTACCGATTGACAATTAGATTAAACGTTGAGATACGGGTATTGAACCTTCCCTGCAGGTGTTTAACGTTAATGATGACACATATCTAGTTAGCATATTGTCTCTCGGGGGAACGAGGTAATTATGCGACAATTTTTTTCAGTCTGACTCGGATAAGTTTAGTTGCCTACCGGCATAGAAATACCGAAGTGATACGATCAAAATTTACATAATGAACAAAGTGACATTCCCAGTTATATTAACCATCATCAGGGTCATCCCCACCTCTCTCTTTCTCATTTGTTTTTCTCAATAAGCACTTTATACATGTACACCACTGAACTCAAAAAGCCTAAAAATACAAAATTTAAATTTCTTACAAATATCGGCATGAATACTTTAAACAGAAAGATGTGCCAAAAATAATGATAAAATATACTTAAAAAAGAACAAGTTAAAACTCGTATGTTTGTGCTATTTCTAGCCCGATTTGAGTGAAAAGCGTTGCAACGCTTTTCAATTTTGAGTCATAGTCCACATTTAGAATAATAATTCTGAAAAAACAGAGTGAGCGAATTATCTGAAATTTTGCACCTAAGTTATTGGTCTAGACATACATCAAATGGAACATTAATCTAAAAAATATATCCAGTCCCGTCATGTCAAAAAAAAACTCAGTTAATTCCCTTTAAAACACACAGGAATATTTGGTTGTAAAAGATGTATTTATGTCCGGGTATGCTCCAATTTTGGTTCAGAGATTATTAATACATGTATTTGTGATATACTAACTATTAGATATGCTTTTGTATAGCCAAACTCTGAGACCGACGACGAGATTAGTACAGTCATTCTACATGCATTTCTTCAACAGTGGTCCTTCATAAGGTTTACTACCGCTTGACGACATTCTTTTAGTTGATCAGCTATGGTACTTTGCTTAGTTTTTAACTTTAAAGATACACTATGCTCAAATTTGATATTGAAAATACTGATAATTGCTACACAGACTCTTTGTATACTAAATAGAAAACGAACATGTTTAGACTTCACACAAAGTAGATATTTTATGTTTTAAACTCGACACACTGTAGGAGGAGAAAATATGAATAGTTAGTGTCGTTAAAAATCTGGCAGTTTTTCAAAGGAAGGACCAACTTTTTGACCTGATATATGAAATGCAGCTTGCCATACAATGGTTGTGCATTATTTTATTCAAATTAGTCATACTAGTATTCAGTAAGAACAACATAATAAAATATAAAAGTTTTTTGTAATGAAAATATTTTACTCAAAGATCAGCATAGTATATCTTTAAATTTGATCGTGGAGGTCGGATAGAGGGGAGGGGGTGTAATCAACTGTTTTCATTTTTGTTCATTATCTTATATTAGCTCTGTCGACGTAGTGTGTATATATTTTGTATCTGTATACAATGGAATTTGATAATTTCTATTGAAAATGTCACCCCGGCACAAAACTTTTAAAATTGATTATGTTATTTCAAACACTTTAGTGACTACCGACTTGGCAACAGTGTTATTTTTCTTCCTCTCTATCTGATAGTGGTGATTAATTATTCTAATTTAAAACAGGCAATAACTGGATTGAATAGCTATCTACACTTTATGTCTTCAATATTTTCTTTTCTAACTAATTTCACTGATAACTGAAAGGATGTAGTGTCAGAACAGATGCTAAAAATGTGTATATTTTACCAAAGCCTAAAAGGAACTCCACTGAGGTTCAATAGCATAAAAATGAGAAAATAAATTTTACATAAATCAACTGGGGCACTTAAAAAGTAAGATATGCAAAATATAATAAAGAAATATACTCAGAAAGAAATTGAAAATCGTATTTTTGTGCTATAGTTTCTTAGCCCGATTTCAGTGCGCTTTTTAATTTTGGGTCACTTTTTCACAATTAGAATAATTAGTCTACCAAACGGAGTGAGTGAATGATCTGAAATTGTGCACACAAGTTAATAGTCAAGATCGACATTAAATGGAATATCATTCTCAGAGGGGATAACCGTTGTTTCCTTAAGCAAAAAATTTTAAAGTGGTTGGTTTGAGACAGTGCCTTCAATCGAACTAAAACAAACTCAATTAATGTTAACGCCCAAAAAATGACTTTTTCGTCTTAATATCACATGTGAACAGTAGCGTATTCACAATGTAATGACATCATTCTTCTACTGTTTTAATCTGCACGATTAATCGATACAATACAGTTATTGAACAATTAATCCTGAAGGAAAAACAAAAAATTCATTAAAATTCCGTCGAGGTATATCAAATTGCATTAAAGAAGATATGTAGTGTCTTTTGTAATGGCAATAAATTATGAACCACTGTTTAAGTAAGCACAGTGATTAGGCTTTTTTTTTAAAAAAATGGGTATCTTGTTTCAACCACTGGGCCTCAAAATCTGATAACCCGGACTAAACAGATACAAACCCTATTGTTCCAAATCACGTGATCAAATAGTCAAAAATAAAGCAAATATCTATAGAATATGTTACATTTTGTATAAATGTTTATAAAGCTTCCTTCGGTTATCTGATTTTCCCACCCAAACACGCTAATCCCGTGACCCGAGTGTGTAAACAATGCTTTTTAATCAGTAATATGCTATTACAAGCTTTAAATAAATTGTGACAATTTACTTGATTTGCCTATAAAGCAAATATTGCATACGATAGTCTCGTCCCTCGCAACTGAGCTATTTTCTGTTTGAATAACTTCATTTGATAAAGCCGAGCACAGCACTGATTTATAATATAAAGAGACTAAAATGGAATTTTCAATTAAATACAGCTAAGTGTTTTATGGTGGAAATATAGAATGATATATTTTAAGTCGATACAGTGATTACAAGGTAATAGTGATGAAGCAAATTTAACAGCTGTTTATAAAAACTTTTAAAAACGATTTACTCACTTTAAAATATAAACTTTGAGATTTAACAAGCGTCAAGGTAAAGTTTTAATGGTTTCAACATTTATTTCTTTTTTTATTTTATATAAAGCGATAACACAAAATTGCTAACTATGACTGACTGAATGTGTTTTTTTTAATATTAAAAAGATATTAAAATGTTTACGTTTGGCAAGATGATATTTAAAAAACAAAAACTATATAAATCTTGAATAAAAACAAATAACAATGATGATTTACTTCTATAATCTGGACTATAATGTAATCGGATTATATATTTTAGTATTAGTACTAACAGTCATATAAAGATGATATTGTATAGTGGTATATATACAAATTAAAGGCCCATTATGCCTTAGAGATACTTTTATTTTTATTAATCAAAAACGTTTTTATCTTTTGTGTCATTTTATTGTTTACTAAAATATACACATTTGACAATTACCTGAACCATTTTGTTTCTGTTGTTGTTGTTTTTTTGTTTGTTTTTTGTTTTGGTAATCAATACAGCTATAGTTTTATGTATGGAAGTAAAAATGTTACTTTGCCTATATTTTGGTACGTTTACTACAAATTATTTAAAATTCGGCGAGACATAATGTGCCTTTAATAAACATGGTTAATAAGCAGTAACATATCGTTTTGTTAAAACATTGTTTGTTATCTATTCAAAAGATTGATATGTAAACGAAATATGTGTCAGATACCTATCAAAAATAATGATAAGAATTATCCCACCCCCAGTCCCCAATCTCTCAAACATCTAAACCGTCGACATATCTATGATGACGATATGTTCATGTATGATAATATTTTGACAAGCTTTCTCTCTAAGAAAATATGTTATATCTTTTAACTATCTACTTATTGTCAGTCTATATCAATATAAAGACAATTTGATTCCATTTTAAAACATATCTTAACAATTTTTCATCGTAAATTTGAAAGAAACAGATAATAGAAATACACAAGTAAGGGTCGGTATACAAACGAGCTTGTTGTCTGGCGTGTTCAAATAACTATGATTTTTGTAAACCTATCTGATAAACATTTTATGAAACAGAACAGAACATATTTTTTTTAAGAATCGACTTTTTTTACAGTGCTCTTTTTTTTTAAAAAACAGTCCTTTTTTTTTAAAACATATTTTATCATAATATGAATCCGGGTAAAAATATTTATCAGGGGGGGAAATAACATTATCAAAAAGGGGTGATTTATATTTTAAAACCAGATAACGGGGGAATTTATATATCATATTTTCATATCCCGGGATTATTTAAATTATATTAAAAAGGGTATAATTTAAAATTTATTATGTTTTTTTATTAAAGAAAAAATGATTTGTGATTTCTTTGTCTAAAAAAATAGGTTTTAAAACTTAAAACTGGGTGTTAATTTTAAAATTTAAAAAATAAAGATGTTTGTCCCCTTTATATTGACATTTTTAAATAAATTTTTTAAAAACAAAAATTTTATGTTAAGTTTAAAAAGCTTTTTTTTTTTTTATTTTATTTAATCTGATTTTATGTTTAATGGCTAACGATTATAAACAATATTTGATTTTTTTTTGGAGAATTAAAAGTCTCGGCCTTGTGAAAAAAATTGTGGCGGAAATTAAGTTAAATTTAAAATTTATTGAAAATAAAAAAAAATAAAATATTAAACAATATTTTCTCGGGTTTATCATATATATTTAACCCCATATTTTAGGAGAAATCAATAAGTAATTAATTGTTAATTAATAACATGACAACGGGAAATGTGTGACATTTAAGTAATCACTTGAGACATTTCATTCAACAATGAAATATTTGTCAAACATTTCAAATTATTTTGTCATCGATTAATTAACCACTTCCGCGTCCAACAAACGAAATATTCATTTAATTTGAGCATTTTTATCTTGTCATATTTATAAGAACTGGCGATGTTTGTGTCAAAATCATAAAATGTTATCTTTGTAACAGAACAGATCAGCAGTGATAGACAATATAAGATAATCGTTTACATTGTACTTGTATTTCAAAAAGGATATTTTTATATTTTTAAACGATATAAGGACAGGAATATACATGTATATATTTATTTGGTAAGAAATATACACTATTTAACATATACTGTAAAGATTTCATTGTTTGTACATTTTGTATCAATATAATGTTTATAATGATAAAAGAAAACAATACTAAAAACGTTGATTTCTTATAGGGATGGAACTGGTTTCGTTGCATTACCGGTTCAGCGATCGCATTTTATATAACAGTACAGAACAGATACTTTATAAACATTTGTACATTGTACAGCTTCTATAATACAATAATATTTATTTATATAACAAAACTTGAACTTTACCCACTAAGAAACACTTGAAAGCATTTTAATCTATTTTTGTCTTAAATTCTATTCTAAATTGTAAATTAACTTTTTTATTGCTAAACTTTCAAGTAAATATATATTCCCCATTTATATATCTGCATTGTATCTGTTTGGAAATACTTGACAAATTAAGCACTTTAAATACTTTACAATTTGTTTTCTCTTTATTTCTCCATATCATTTTTTCATCTTTGTCATTATTCACCCTCGTGTAAATTGTTATAAATGTTCACATATTCTTCTTGTATTGTATTTAAAAATGTTTTATTTTCAAAACATGCTAGGCGATAAAAAGCTTGAGAATTGACATATATATTTATTACTAATTTGTTACATTATAAGACCTATCAACGAAAGTATCAGATTTATATCATTTTATTTGAAAACATTCGTTCGGCTTTATTACAACACTTTCTTTTGGCAACTTTATGACATGGCTATAATACTGAACTAACGATTCTTTAAGCAGATTTTCTTCTTACGTTAATTTCGTTAATAGTTCTTGTAGGTTATAAAAGATTTTATTAATCTAATTGTATTAAGCCGAAAATCTCATCAATACCTGTAAAAAGGAAAATCCACAAATGCAATTAATTTAGAATAAATCCCCACTCCTTTAGAAATATTTTTGTTTACTTCAAGAGCAGAGCGGATGCCCAAACAACTATTTAAATCATTCATAAACCGCGCAATACTTGAAAACTTAAAGAAAATAGCTTCAGAAGGGGCAATAACTGTACGTTTTATGACTATTCTAGTCTTAAGCACGCGAGCTTAATTAATTAGAAAATTGATTTTTAGACGTTTGAACATAATTAAACTTCGCGTTCTTTACGTGAGAATGTAAAGAGGTTTATTGAGACGTTCTTCTTTGCCAACATGTGTTGGTGAAAAACGCTTAAATATTTAACTGCGCTAAAACGGGTTTACTCAAGTGTATAGACGCAAATTGAATTTCAACTAATATCACAGTAAGAAAATTTTTCGAATGTTGAAATAACATTTAATTTTCTTCTCTAATTGCAGATGCAAAACCAACGAATATGAAATTTGCGAAGTGAGCGTTCAGTGAAGCAGAAGGCGCAGATTCGGAATATATTTGTCCTGGTCGCTTAGATAGACATCAATTTTCCGCTTGTCACCTCCGACAATAGATCGACACTGAATGACCGGCGAGCTAAAAGGACACGAATCTGTCAACCTCAATCAGTGGTGTGAGGGGGAGAGATATAGTGACATTGTCGTGTATTAACAACCCGCAAAATAATTAAACCCGGAGAAAAAACGGTGTCCAGTTTTCACGGAGGACACACATGACACAGAGCTCTTTTAATTCTGACCTCTAAGTTGACGCTTGGAATATTATATTTCACTTGGAAAACCATAAGGATCAGTGATTCGGGCATAGGGAGGAATCATCAGGAATATTTTTCAGTTGGTAACCTAAGTTTAAGAACTGCAGCGGAGAATTGCAGTGGAAAATATACACTAATGTTGTGAAATATTTTTCGTGTTATATAAAACAAATCAGCGTTTATTACCGATCATTAAACATACACCGATTCGGTGCGACTGCATTTTATGTACGTGATAAAAGAAGAACGCAATAACTGTCTAACGTTATGTCAATAGATCATTGTTACGTGAAATGGACGGTGATCTTCATACGGCTTCAATGATATCTTAACACAAGTTTGTGATCGTTGAATTGTAACGAATATAAAACGAGATAACTTAAGTTAGTGATGACACATAAAATACGATACAAATTTAATTAGTATAGTATCTCCATCAAAGACAGTCAAGATAGCTAGATGCTGACAAAATCACCGTGGACTTTCTTTACTATATGAGTGAATTAAAGTGTTGAAAATATTGCATTATCATACTTATGTGCGGGAATACTCTTTTCACCTGAGGATTTTGAAGTTATATCCATAGATCTGTTGTTTACAAAGGAACCTTATAGTGAAAATGCGCTTGACTAAAAGTTGATTCATTCGATAATTCACGTAGACAGTTTTTAAAAGGAATTCATAAAGATTGAATGAAGTATTATTTTATCTGTTGACAATTCTGATCGGTAATATGTCGGTGCAATAGATGCACGAATCCTTAATTAAACAACGAGTTTATTCTCGGCACACGCTGACGTAATCGACGGATCTTTTCAAACGTTTTATGACATTTAAATAGATTGGAAAACATAAATTTGAGTATTAGCCGAATAGCTATAGCAAAATTTCCACAAAGCAGCGAATCTCAAGTGGCTAAGATAAGTGCTTACAGACGGGTGAGAAGTAAAAGGGAATACGCCTCTATTCTTTGTGCCAATCAATGTCAACCGTGTACTCAAGACTCGGACGAGTTTCCTGAATTCAATGAAATACGTCACTTTTGAATAGAACATTCACGATTCGTCTCCAAAGTGAACTTTTCACTATAGAACTGGATGACAATTATTTATTATAGAAGTAAATTGCGAAAGGAAGAAAAATTAATAAATCGACTTGAAAGGCATTGTGTGAGAAGGGACCTTAGGAGAAGTGGGGAAATTAATTGAAAAAAGGAAAAGAAAAACTCCTCAGGGTGCAATTAGATCGCAGAATCTGAGTGGCGAAATATTGCCACAAAATTTTACGAGAATACGTCGAGGATATTTTGACAGAGAGGAAAAGTATTAGCTGTAAATGAGCAGGATTTACGTGACGAAAACAACAGATTATTCGTGATATTTGTGATAAGAGTGATCAAAGAATAGTAATAATGGAGAGTAGATTTCGTTATTTGTTCACTTTATGTTTCATTTTGGGACTTCATATCCCTGTGACTATGTTTCCAGCCGACTCGAGTAAAAGTGGTACCAGTCAAAATATTAGTGAATTGAATGATGTACTTTTAACGGAAACTGAAAGGAACGCTATAAACGCTCGAAATAACTATCATAAAGACCCACGTGCTATTGAAAACATTTTATTCCAATCACGGACCCCAGGCCATGTAAAACCAGCCGGCGTAATCGGCTCAGAACGTATTCATCAGAATCAAATGAATAAAAATACTAATCAAGCAAGTCTGGTAGACCTCCATGATTTGAATGAAGGTATAAAGTTAAACGGATTAGAACGGGATTTAAGTACAGATCATATTAAATCTGCGAAATCTGTAATAAATCGTCTCCCGGAGGATTTGCGAACCGGCAAGTTAGAACAAATTCAACAGAGACTCGCAAACATATCAGCTAATCTGTTAACAAGGAAAAATATTTTGCCAAGCAACAATAGACAGCCAGTTGTCAAAGGGCGTGAAATAAATAAAGATGGTAGTGATAAATATAACAATAACACCGTGATAAAATCGGAGCAATCCCTAAGTACACAAAATAACCTTCAATGGATAGAAAATGATAAAGTAACTAATAATAACAAAAACAGTATGTTGGGTATACTATGGCCATCTGTGTTAATTGATAAATGTCCTAAAGGGTTCCAAAAAGACGAACAAGACAGCTGGAAAAGAAAAGTAGAAAATTTTGAAATTGTCAAGATCGAGAATGGATGCGGGAGCATGCAGAATCGCTTGCTTACTTTTAATGACTCTACAAAAGCCTGTGTAAGATACAGACTTAACACAGATCAACTTCAAGGGGAAATATATTCCTACTACCTCAGTAAACTTTTAGGTATAGGCAATACCCCACCCACTACCCTTCATAAGGTGGAACATTCACGACAGTGGCGGGAAGTTGAGGAGGCCGTTAATTCGGCCAAATGGTCAGAAAACAAGCCCATTATTGTCACTAAATGGATTGAATCCCTAGAGCCCGTTTACATGCCGGATCAAATGAAAGACATGAAAAGAAAGTTACACCAAGAAAATTACCAGTTATATGGCATGGCCGATGGCAGTTTATGTGATTTAGTACAATGGACGGATTTAATTATATTTGATTATATATCGGCCAATTTAGACAGGGTGGTTAATAACGTATTTAATTTAAAATGGAACCATAAAATGTTAGAAAAGCCTATACATAATCTTGAAAAGTCAAAGGAAACGGGTCAATTTGTTTTTGTCGACAATGAATCTGGGCTGTTTCACGGTTATAGACTCCTGGACACGTACGGAACATATCATAAAAGTTTACTTGATAATGTCTGTATATTCCGGCCTTCAACCGTACAGGCAATAGAAAAACTTTACGCTAACGGCGATGCAGGTCAAAGGGTACAAGAATTATATGAACTGAATGAAAAATTGCACGGACATTTACCTAGAATGAGTTTAAAAAATATGCAGATTTTACAATCAAGAATTAATGAAGTATATAAACATATGCAATTATGTAGACATATAAGTTGAAATAAACCATAAGTTATACATACATCATTGTCAAAAGATTCAGTCATTTTTTCCCTCTCATAAACCTAAACCAGTCATTACCTCTGTTCAGACACGTTCCAGTTGAGTGACAATGTATCAAAAAGATACAATCAGTTAAACTTATCAAACGCAGATATAATTTGCGACAACATAAAGAGAAAGTGAAATAAATCGTTGCTCCAATGAAAAAAGGAAAGATGAATTTTCTACTTGAACCACCTTCTTACAATTATAACAATTTATATAAGACACACGTTGTATCTTTGCCGATTTAATGAAGAAAACCACGTTGTCATGGCAACAGAATCGAACATCAAAGAAGGAATATCTAATCAAACGATATAAAATGTTTATCCGAGCAGAAAACACGTCAACAAAAGAGGCCCATCTTTAAACTAGATCACGAGTCGTTGGTGACGACCAAGGGAAGGTCAAAGATACATGCACATGTTCAACGTCGGAAATATTTGGTGAGTAACTGTTAAATGTTTGTTTCAAAATATAGTCTAACTTTTTATTTAAATCTGTGATTTCATTTATATGTAAAGTAAAGCTGGAATGTTGCAAAATGACCTTTACAAGTTTACAGTGTCGATATGTAAAAAAAGAGGAAGAAAATTCATCAAAAACATTTCTACCATAGTTTTATGTTAATATAAGAGATAGAATTTCAGTTATGTGTACAATGCTTTGTCTGTTTGAGTAGGAAGTTCAGATATCAGGATTAGTATTCATCATCACCATCATCACCATCATCATCATCATCATAATCATCATCATCATCATCATCATAATCACCATCATCATCACAGTCATCATCATCATCAACAACAAAAACAATAATAATCACAGCAGCAACAACAACAACAACAGTAGCAGCAGCAACAACATCATCACCATAATCATCATCATAATCATCATCATCAACAAGAAGAAGAAGAAGAACAATAACAATCACAGCAACAACAGAAGAAGCGACAACAACAACAACAACAACAACAACAACACAAACACAACAGTTTATGTCAGCATTAAGTAATGTACATTACATCTAGCCAACAATACAATATTTGTATTCAAGGAAAGGGCCGACATATGTGTTATTTTACACTTTTGCATACCCCCAAGTATTCTAGGTTTCTTCACAAATCCATTCATTTGGTAGATAGTTTCCTATTTTCATTCAACATTTATATCAAGTAACCCGACATAGCTCTTGTCACAATTGTCTTGTAGCACAGGCGATATGCTCTTATTTTTAAGGAACATAAAACATTCCTGACAATTTCAATTCCTCCAAACTAGCACACAAAGTAAAGGAACTGTCTAAAGTTTTCTCTGCGGTAAAGATAATCATATTATACTTGAAATATAGCTTTAAGCCACTTGTAATAGAATTGATTATACATTCGTGTAAATTCAATATAGAAATTAACAAGAACTTGTTAAAAGCCGCGGTAATGGTAAAATATCGTCTCCTTTATTTGTACAAAGTAAGAAAACTTATAATAGTTACAGAATCTATGTGATTTAATAATTGAAATGAAAATATTTTTATTGGCAATCTTACATCGAAAATGGTTTAGATAAAATGATGGTTTAAATAAACATTTAAACAGCATTCTTATACAGTACATAGTTATTGTTTAGCAATGATTTCAAGTATATATTTTAATACGTGTACTTTGATATTATTCAACCGGTGTTACCGTTATATATACTTTTCTGAAACAAAGCATAGACGCGCGTCTCCAAGCTAATTATTCACAAGGTTAGCTTTTAAAAAAGCTAGTAGCGACTCGCTTCGTAATTTTTTTTCAAGGGGTGTGTTTAAATGTAAAAATGACAGTTCTGTTAGCTGAAGAGACTTCAGCGAACATCAAAATAAAAGTGAAGTCAACACTGGCCCGGTGCCCGATGGCCAGTGTATATAAGTTCAGGCCAGTGTAAATTTAAGAAAATTTTGTTAATTATTTAGTAGAATAAATTCAAAACTGGAATTCGGGCCAGTAAATTCAAAATCTTAAACTCATTGACTGAAAGTGACATATAAAGTTCTCTCAGTTTAACCAAGATGAGTATGAGTATATATGAAGGTGCATGTAAACAGATAGAATGAAGAACCTATGTCTATGCACATTTACTATATGGCCTGTTGACCTTGACCACAAAATGTTAGATAGGTTTATTTCATAAAGATGTCTCTTTGTACAAAATTAAGTTGTAATACATGTATGTTATTTAGTATTGGAATGAGAGGCACAAGTCCTAAAGTAAACACAAGTTGACTCAATTCAGCCAGAAAAGCCGGGATCCTATTAAAAAATATAGGGATCCCGGAAATTGACCAGTCTAAGAAGATGTTTTTCAGATAAGCCGGGATCCTATTAAAACATATAGGGATCCCGGGAATTGACCAGTTCAAGAATATAGTTTTCAGAAAAGCCGGGATCGTATTAAAATGTAAATAGATCTCACGGATTGGCCAGTTCAAGTATATAGTTTTCAGAAAAGCTGGGATCGTTTTAAAACATATAGGGATCCCGGGATTTGACCAATTCAAGAAAATAGTCTTTGATTTTTCCAATTAATTAGGCATATAATTATAAGTATTGTGATTTCCGCATTTTAAGTTTGTTAATAAATAGCTCTAAATATATCTATATTCTAAGTTAAATTAATTTAACGTTCATTATATACAATAAAAAAATTAACGTTTAATGGCCTTTCATTACGACAACAATCAACACAAATATAGTTCATTAGGTTTTTCCTCCATATCTTATACGATCCCGGATCCCGGGCGTCCCGGATCCCGGCCAGTAAATACATACACTAAACACCGGAAAGGATAAAATGACCGGAAAAAAGGAAAAAATAAAAAAATGCACAGAAGCAGATGTACACTTATGTTAATTAACCAAACGAAAACTTACTACAGAGAAAACAGGTAAAATCGCTAAATCAGAAGTCAGTGTAAATATGATTTATTGAAAAGAATTCATAAAGACAAACATTTTAATCATCATTATATCTTTGCGCTCAAAACAATACTTGCTGATTTTTAAAAATGGCGTGAAAATTGAAGGTTTTTTGACGCTATGTGAGATTAAATTTGATTGGCTAAATAATTTTGGATCCTAGCCCTGATAGATAAATTTTGTAGAAAGCTGGAAGCCAAGCTTCGATTAAATTTTTGGATAGCTTCGGAGTTTTAGGTTGTTTCTCAGTAAAATCCTACCGTAATACCGGCTCGCCGTGGCGAGCCGGCATAACCGGAACGGACCGAGAAAATGCGATTTTCTCGGCTCTAAAATATGTAATGCTTTATTATAACCGGTGGTGTTCAGAACTAAATGACTTAAAAAATTTCTTCTGTATATTCTATATTTCTTACTATTAGAAGATGGTATTTTTAATTATCTAATGATAGATAAAACTTTATGATAGAACTTTTTTTGTTGAAAATAAAAACCAAATAAGCAAAACATTATTATAAAACAACAGCAGAATCAGCTGCAACAACAAGAACAAACAAAAAATCGAAAAAATCACAAAACACTCAACATATTGGCGTTTTTTTCACCCATAAAAAATGTAACATATGTTTGGTAGAATTCATATTGTTATTGATAGTAATCAATATATGAGCACATATCTATGTTTTCCCTCCATATCGTGACCAATAAACCCAATCATGGACCTCTCTAGTTATTTTCATCTTTTAAAATCTGATTTTAAATTGTATAAATTGGACCCTATTCGCTTATAACTGCATTTAATTAATGTATTGTTATTCCCAACCCTTTATGTCCATCGCTCAAATTAAAAGTGTGATTTATGTTGGCGGTTTATATTTTCGGCATTTGAAAGAAAAAAAGCAATAACATAAAATATAAATAAGAAATACATTAATTCATTTGTACTTGTGCATAAAAAAAGACGGCGTAGGGTTATATTTTTCCCTTAAGTTTTATCACACTTAACTGAATTCAACAAAAGGCCATTTTTTTCCTTTTTAAAATTAAAATTATGATAAATTAGAAATACGACACCGTCTCCTATGCTGACAGCAAATGTGGACTATCAAATGCATTTCTCTATAAAAGTTGCGTGTTACTAATATATGAAATAATGCGAGATTTTGAAGGAAGCTCAAAATTTAGTATGATTTGAGTTTACATTATGTAAAAAAAGATTTCTTTCTCAAAATATATTCCTTTTGCCATTTGTTTTTATTCTGTTAGTCATAGATGGAATGCGCGTATGATAGGGCTTAAGTTCAATCGACGCTGGTACGCTGATATGGTAGCTTCTCTTTTTAAATGAAAAACTAATGCAAAATTACTCTGAAATTGTTGGTACTTAGATATGTTCCGAAATCTTGATGGAAATTGAAATGATTAATTAAAACAAAAGATAAAGGGTGTTATTTGCTTTTCATCATATTTGACACTTTTTTTCTCATTTAAATTTGCCAACACCAATTTTCTAAATTCTACTCCGAGTCTTCACAATTTATTCATACTACATTGACATCAAAAGTACTTCTTTGCTGCCTTTTTGTATTGTTTCATTTTTTTTCTGTATTTTTGAAGTCTTTTTTCAATAATCTGAAACAAATATATGAGAAGAACTGGAGATATAATTTGAAGATTTACACCTTTTCTATATTCAGGATATTCCTTAAACGCTGATAGATCCAAACAGTGATAAAATCGAGAAAAAGGTCCAAAACTAACTTAACAAAAGAAGATAATTCAAGGTCTACATAATTTGCTTGTCCCGCTTCATACCTTTTTGTTGGTTTCAAACCACTTTTTACTTACTTTGTCATCACTTTGTCATCACTGCATAAAGATAAAAAATAGTCAAATAATATTGTTTTATTTTTGGTCAGTTCTTTTACCGAGACAATTATTTAACTGGTCAGCAGTTTCCTATATATCTATATCGTCAGCTAATTCGTCAGCAGTTTAGTGCGACCCCTTCCATGATCGCACCGTTTGTCGGTGAGTTAGTAAATTCTGACCAAGCACCGGTAGACGCACGACAATGCGATACGATATTATTCCAAATGTCGCTTCGCATTGTCGAGTGTCGCTTCGCGTTGTCGAGTATCGCTTCGCGTTGTCGAGTGTCGCTTCGCATTGTCGAGTGTCGCTTCGCAATGTTGAGCGTCGCGGTGTAAAAATCATAAAAATAACGCGACATTTACTCGACATTTTAAAAATGTCGCTTCGCGATGTCGAGTGTCACTTCGCATTGTCGAGCGTCGTATCGCATTGTCGCGTTGTCGTTTCGCATTGTCGAGTGTCGTGGTATGCACTTCTACCAACCTCGACACTCGACAATGCGAAGTGACAATGCGACAACGCGAAGTGACATCGCGACAACGCGAAGTGACATCGCGACAACGCGAAGCGACGCTCGACAATGCGAAGCGACAATCGACAACGCGAAGCAACATTTCTTAAATGTCGCCTTTTTTACCGCGACATTTCTAGGCGACAGTGCGACATATCGTTTGACACTGTCGAGCGTCGCTTCGCATTGTCGCATATCGCTTCGCGTTGTCGAGCGTCGCTTCGCATTGTCGCGATGTCACTTCGCATTGTCGTGTGTCTACCCTTAGACGCGACGGACGACATTCTAAATGGCACGATAAGGACACCGTAATTTTAGGTTATTTGTCATTGACATTGATTTTATTTGTCACACTGTCTTAATTTCGCTTGACAAATGACAGAAAAAACTAGACCAAATGGAGATATATTACGACGATTTAATACTTTTTTGTATAAAAAAATCGAGTTTTAATGACATTGCCGTTTTTCCTCTTTTTAGATAATTTCGCATCTAAAGCTATACAACACAATTTTTTACAGTCATAACCACATGACCGCTTCTTATCGCTACAATCGCGTTGAAAAATAGTACCACCTGGTGTATGAGATTACATTGAAGTTTTGCAAAAGTTCTTTGATATTGTAGCATTTGTTGATTTTGAAAGCATGGGGTATCATTTCACTTTTTTTTCGCAAATCAAACTGTAAAACAACAAGTTATTAATTTAGTATTCATCTACACGAGTTTCACTCCTCAAACTATTGGCATTATTAACTACGCATTGAAACAATCCTCCTTTGCACATCAGCAAGGGTGTTTTGAACGTGTAACATGAGATAACAAACTCTACGAGGCCTGATCTGCACCGTAAACGAAGTCTGGATGAATTTGATGAGACAAAAGTTGGGCATAATGCAAAGTAATGTTGATATTAAAAGCATATGATTCATTTGTCACAGTTTAAAAAAACCCGCTAAGAACCGACACGAATCTTTTGAAAAATAAACATTTATCATATATCAATAATGTTTAAAAGTATCTGTTTTAAAGACTGTTTTGCGTGAATGATATTCCTTGACCGTTATATGGCGTTATATTTTTCTCTAAAAAATGAGTAAGAAATGAGATTGCCTAGAAATTATCAACCTCCCTTTTGACAGTTCCCTCAGAGCTTTGATTTATTCTTTCGGACCACTATCACCAATTATATATACATGTTCACCACCACCACAACCACCACCACCGCCATCATCATCATCATCATATTCATCATCATCATCATATTCATTATACAACATGTATTTTTTTCTTTTCACAAATTTAATAACATATTTATTTTTGTTATTTCAGATTGAAACGATATAAGGACGTAATATAGATGAACGTTTCTTCCTAGCTACTTCTGGTTGCCTTTGCATTTCTTCTACACTTGCCTCGCTTTTACTACAACAAAAGCGTTTGCTACAGAAAGGAGAGAGTAAAAGGAAATACAGATCATATAAATGGATATATTTATTGATTGACAAGGAAACATTTGTAGTGTGAAATAGATATATTAATGTGTAGTTGAAAGTGCAAACTATTTGCATTTGTGACACATTGTTTATTAATTTATTCATGTTTAGTGCACACTGTGATCTTTATGTCGAAGGAACCATGTTAACAATATACATCTTGTGGTTAATTTTACAGTCTGTCATTATGAATATATTGCCAATAATTAGAATTAAGATATATTCTTAAACATTGAAACAGGAGTTCGAACGACATTGTTTCGTTTGATCCCTCAGTTGAAATTAAAGATTTATCGTCTGCTTGTTTTGATTTTATTCTTATTTTCATCTTGTATGGGTAAGACAACCTGAACAATTTCAATATATTGTTGTTGCGGCAATTTTCTTGCCGTTGTTTTGCTATTGTAAAAAACATTTCTCAGGGATTTGTTTAATTTGTTTTTCTAATAGAGAAAATATTCTTAACGGAACGTTGCATTTAAATATTTTACATAAAATACGTTACAATGTATGGCTACATCAATTATCCATTTTTCTTTGTTTCCTTATCTACATTATGTTGAAATATTTGCATAAAAATCCTTAACAATCATTAACGTTTCAAAATAATCAATCTTTTCATGAAAAAAAAAAGAAAACGTCCAGGTGAAATTAACGAATTACACGTACTTAAACAGCGTTTAATTATGACGTATTGGCGTTGTAACGCTACGTTGTGACGCTACGTTAGCTCAATGCAAGCATTTTTTAGTTGCCTCGATCAAAAGTATATTAAACGGTACACATTTTTTATATATTTCACGGTGTACGATTTCATTGACTGTAATTTGTCTTGACATTTTATGTAATTTTAATTTGTCAAAAAGTAAACACAAAGAAAAACAACATTGTTCAGATTCCGCTTCGATTGTTAACCAGTTATTAAACATGTAAACTCCACGTATTTTTATTGATCACTTGAATTGTTAGATTGTTCTTGCAACCAAGAAAAAATGTTAACTAGAAAAAACATCAAAAATTTACATAAACAAGACGATTTTGAATGTTTTTATACTTTTCTCTTTTTTTATTAAAGTACAATTTTCATCGAATAATTTCGTGCATTTTTCACTGAATCATGTCATAACTGATCTTAGATTCTATTAAAGGTGTTTGAAGGTTGGTTTGCGACTGTTGATGTTTATAACTACTGTAGTAACAGATCAATCATTCAATATTCTTTATTCTATTCCACCATGAACAAAATGTCAGCTTCTCGACTTTTGTTAGACGTTTGATACAGTAATTTTTCATACCTTTAAATTTCGAAAAACTTCTTAAATTGATAAATTTTAATTTTCTTAATTTTTCTTTTTCGCAATGACTCAAAGTTTTTTCTTAAATAAAAAAAACAACAAACAAAAACAACAACAACAACAGGTGTTTGTCAAGCATTAAATTATTACCTCTAATGTTCATTAGAAAAGTTTTGCTTGTTTATGTATACGAAGGTGATAACTTTTTTTGAAGGTTTCTACACTTAAGCCTGCATCAAAAAAAGAAACGGGCCAATTATTTCTTCAAATGAAATCATAATTTATTTACTCGAATATTCATTTAAAAATTTAATTCAAACTATATTAATGTATGGTTAAGAAACTGTATTGTACCCACATGAACCCGGGGCTTCATAATTATGAGAATGAAAAATATGTCGTCTGTTCAATTAGCGAACAATTACTTTGCACCGAAAAGGTGTGAAATTACGGAAATAAGTTCATCATGCAACATAAATCATTATTGATGTTTGATTCACAATTATGAATTATTGCAAATGAGAAGAATTTTGTAGGCATTTATTTATGAAAATTACTTAAAATATGTAAATTGTGCAATATGTTTGTTATTCAAAAGTCTTATGCTGTTTTTATGGACGTGGTTATGTAAAATAAAAGTTAATAAATCTTTTGAAATGTTCGTAGTTTTATTTTGATGTCAGGCTATTTAATGATGAATTATTGTTATATAACAGTAGCAGATACATGAAAAAGTCAACAGGTCAACTGAAATACATATATATTACTATGTTAAACATCATTTGCAAATATATTTAAATATATAAATCATATCTTATTACAACAGAATTGCCTGTTAGAGTAGTCCCTTTCCTTTGTCACTAAATGAGAAATTTGTTTAAATTGCTCGTTTAAATTTGTTAAAGAACATTCAAAAAAGCATATACGACATTTGCCCAATTTAGATTTGCTCAACCTAGGTTTCGGGATTTTGAATAGACTGATATGATTGGAAGATAAATATATTTGGGCCCACACCCGATCTTAGGAACGTTTGAACAAACTTTTTTTTTTATAAAATATATGACTTCACATGACGACTTCATTTCATATGATGATGATGATGACGATGATAATATATTTGATGTTGATGATGATTATGATGAAGATAGAGATGATGTGTTTAATAATGATGATGCCGTTGCCAATGAATATGAAATAATTGGTAGGTGTATTGATGTATTGACTATAATGATGATATTAATAATAATGAAAGTTATAATAATGACTATGATGATGATGATGATGATGACGACTATAATGATGATAATTATGATGTTGATGATGTTAATGATAATAATAACAACTGTAATGATGATGATGGTGATAATTACTTTAATGATGTTCATCATGAAGACTTGAATGATGATGATGATGATGATTTCAATGATGATGATGATTTTGATGATAATAATTAAAATGACGATGTTGTTGGTTATCATTATTTAATTTATGAGTCTATAAGTGATGTTTTTGTCGGGAAGTTTCTCTCTTGTCATTGGTCAACCACATAAACAACAATTTATTTAAGTTAAGATTTTAAGCATCTAACATTATATTTAAATGCATACTTAACTATAGACTGCTATCACAATTAAACGATTAAACATTACATAGAATAAATTTTTGCTAGTTATGCGGGGTTGTCGCAGGGATTTTTTTTTAAAACATGGTGAATAATAACTTCAATTAATTCGCCGTATGTTTCAGTAAATGAATACATGTACTAAATCCAATATGTTAAGTGTAAATACATTGTTCAAGTGTTTGAAAACGGATCAAATACTTCATACGAGACTGTTGAATTTCTGATCAATTTAATAATAAATGAAATTTGGTGTTTTATTTACATTTAATTCTGTGGTTATTGTATCTAAAGGCGTTCAGTAAATGGTTAGAGATAGATTAGTGGATCATTCGGATTATTTTGAAAGACCTCTGGTGATTTCAATGTTTACTTTATATTTCGTTTTGTAGACATAGGGTTATAACGAATTTTGAACGCATAGAAAAATCGACTGACACCGTATTGAAGACGATAATATGTGAAGAAACGATTTGGAATCATATATCATAAATAGTTAAAAAACATGCAATAATGTAGTAATTGCATACACGTATTGTGTCCTGAAATAGTTTCTTTAAATATCTGAATTATTTTGCTCTGTTCGGGTACATTTGATTTCAGAACTTTTACACCCATGATGGTTTGCGTTTATTATAACTAAACACATTAAAAATACCGTTAATAGAAAAAAGTATTTCGAAGTTTTGAATTTTAGTAACGGTAACACATAGGTTATATATGGTTACAAAAACAAACGCAATGCCATGAATTTACCGTAAAATAAAATGTAAAAACGCAAATGTATATGATATAGTTATATAACAACAGATAAAGGCCATAAAATGCTACATGTTACCCAATATAGGTATAGGTTTAATGTAATGATATTAAAAACAGTTGAAAATCAACAAGACATGTAGTATTTTAATGTTTAGATATGATTGTTTCAGCTCGATTGCCATGGAATCTTGTAGTTTATCTTAAACATTTTCAGGTCTGCTTCTCACCAAAACTAGTCATGTGTCAGAAGAAGAAAACTTGTCGTGACTCAAACCCACGATCCTTTGATTGACAGCCAGACATCCACCGCTACCCTCTCTGGTAGTATATTTATGAAATAAGGTCTTACAACCATTTTCATTTTCTAATATTAATAATTAAATGACATTAATAAGTGACATTATGCTCATTTTTCATCGTCAAGTTGACCTGATTTAAAACATTAAATGTAATAATATATAGTGATTGACTAACAGTTGATTTTGGAAATTGTTTAGAATAAATTATAAATCTGCCTAACATAAAATAAAATAAATTGAATATTACACGTCAGGTAAATTCTGATGGAAATTTACAGAAATTTCTTTGGGTTACGTGAGTAATTTATCGTTCATGCAAAGTAATTTATAAAATTGAAATGAATTATGGTTGAATTTAAACTTATTTTGACTTTCACCTGTTCACCCATATACCCATAGATTGGCTTAATGTTACTTAAAAGTGAATTGGACTACATTTTCAAATACACAATGTATTGATAAAAAGATAGAAATGTAACATTTGGACAGTCCTTTGAACTATATTTCTAGAATACAAAACGTTGATTTGGAGTTCTAAAGTGATTTAGTATAAGAAATAAATGATGAATAATAATATTTTGTTCTAGAACACTTAATTATCTGCTATATATTGATATGTAATATCGGATTATGTATCTAACACTTTCCAACAACGTCCATATATAATTATTTCGTGTTTTATCTTCACGTATAATACTGAATACTATCACCATAATTATTTATGGTGTTACTGAATTTTAATTATTGACCAATTCTCTTTAAGATGTCAGGGCTTCTGTTATCAGCATCAGTTACCAAGAAGACATTTAGCGTCGTTGTTGTTAAACAGATGGGAAGACCAAATATAATGTTCATATAATTTCTGAAATCTACATATGCACGTTTAGACTTGTACTATTATGATATTACATGATAATGTGTATGTATGTATATTTGTACAATAACGTATAATGAACTAATAAATCTATGCAGTTGACAATTAGTTTTGTAAAATAGCTAGTTCTCATGTCGGAATATTTCACGCAGTTATGATATTTGTTGAAAAAAAAAATATCAACAAGACGTTACGAGTGACCTCCCTTCCCTTTTAAATCGGACATTTTTCACATTGCGATTCATGATTAACTTTATGCATACAAATAATGCAACTTCACACATCTCTTATATTAGTACAAAATACATGAAGTAAAATAAACTTATTGCTCAATCATATTAATTTTGTTTTAATTCCCAAATGTTTTCTTATACTGTGAAAAGTCACTCATGTCACCATTCCGCAATGCACTTTATCAGATGATCACTATCATCATCATAATCATCATCATAATCATTATCATCATTATTATCATCATTATTATCAACATCATCATCATCATCAGCAGCAGCAGCAGCATCATCATCATCATCATCGTAATCAGCAGCATCATTATATTCAGCAGCAGAAGCAGCAGCATAAGCAGCAGTTTCATGGTATGTGAGAAGTTAGCAGTGAACAGTGAGCTAAGCAAAAAGGCATTTCAATTTATATAGGGAAGGTAATGATCTGCTGTAATGCTCAGCTGTTTTGGGCATCTAGCAGGGCATTCCTAAATATAGTGTAAAAATGCTCTGCTGCAATACTCAGCTGTCTTGGCGATCTAGCAGAGCAATCCTAGCTTTAGTGAAAAAATGCTCTGCTGTTCGGAACGCTCAGCTGGCTAGGCAATCTAGCAGTGCATTACTGTATATAGTGTTAAAATGCTCTGCTGGAATGCTAAGCTGGCTAGGCAATCTAGCAGGACATTACTAAGTATAGTGAACAAATGCTATTCTGGAATGCTAAGCTGGCTAGGCAATCTATCAGGACATTACTAAATATAGTGTACAAATGCTATTCTGGAATGCTAAGCTGGCTAGGCAATCTAGCAGGGCATTACTAAATATAGTGTAAAAATGCTCTGCTTGAATGTTAAGCTGGCTAGGCAATCGAGCAGGGCATTCCTAAATATAGTGAAAAAATGCTCTGCTGGAATGCTAAGCTGGCTAGGTAATCTAGCAGAGCATTACTAAATACAGTGTAAAAATGCTCTGCTGGAATGCTAAGCTGGCTAGGCAATCTAGCAGGACATTCCTAAATATAGTATAAAAATGCTCTGGTGGAATGCTAAGCTGGCTAGGCAATCTAGCAGAGCATTACTAAATATAGTGTTAAAATGCTCTGCTGGAATGCTAAGCCGGCTAAGCAATCTAGCAGGGCATAACTAAATTTAGTGTAAAAATGCTCTGCTGGAATGCTAAGCTGGCTAGGCAATCTAGCAGGACATTCCTAAATATAGTATAAAAATGCTCTTGTGGAATGCTAAGCTGGCTAAGCAATCTGGCAGAGCATTACGAAATAAAGTGTGAAAATGCTCTGCTGGAATGCTAAGCTGGCAAGGCAATCTAGCAGGGCATTACTAAATATAGTGTAAAAATGCTCTGCTGGAATGCTAAGCTGGCTAAGCAATCTAGCAGGACATTCCTAAATATAGTATAAAAATGCTCTGGTGGAATGCTAAGCTGGCTAGGCAATCTAGCAGAGCATTACGAAATATAGTGTAAAAATGCTCTGCTGGAATGCTTAGACGGCTAGGCAATCTAGCAGGGCATTACTAAATAAAGTGTTAAAATGCTCAGCAGGAATGCTCAGCTGGCTAGGCACTATAGCAGAGCATTCCTTGATATAGTGAAAAAATGCTCTGGTAGAATGCTCAGCTGGCTAGGCAATCTAGCAGAGCATTACTAGATATAGTGTAAAAATGCTCTGTTGGAATGCTCAGCTGGCTAGGCACTATAGCAGAGCATTCTTTAATATAGTGAAAAAATGCTCTGGTGGAATGTCAGCTGGCTAGGCAATCTAGCAGGGCATTACTAAATATGGTGTAAAAATGCTCTGGTGAAATGCCAAGCTGGCTAGGCAATCTAGCAGGGCATTCCGAAATATAGTTAAAAAATGCC